CTTAAATAAGTCCCTTTAGCATTTCTCGTAAGGCTGGTTTCTTGGTGATAAACTCCTTTAGTTTTTGCTTGTCTGGAAAACTGTTTCTCTCTCCTTCCATTCTGAATGATAACCTTGCTAGGTAGAGTATTCTTGGCTGTAGGTTTTTTCCTTTCAGCACTTTAAATATATCGTGCCACTCCCTTCTAGCGTGTAAGGTTTCTGCTGAGAAGTCAGCTAATAGCCTTATGGGGTTTCCTTTATATGTAACTTGTTGCCTTTCTCTTGCAGCTTTTAGGATTCTCTCTTTATCTTTAATTCTTGACATTTTAATTATGATGTGTCTTGGTGTGGGCATCTTTGAGTTTATCTGGTTTGGTGCTCTCTGTGCTTCCTGTACCTGGATGTCTGTTTCCTTCCTTAGGTTAGGAAAGTTTTCAGCTATTATTTCTTCAAATAGATTCTCTGCTCCTTTATCTCTCTCTTCTCCTTCTGGGACACCTATAACATGGATATTAGTGCACTTGCTCTTGTTCCAGAGGTCCCTTAGATTGTCCTCATTATTTTTTTTTTTTTTCATGAGGAAGACCAGCCCTGAGCTAACATCTGCCTATCCTCCTCTTTTTTTTGCTGAGGAAGACTGGCCCTGGGCTAACATTCATGCCCATCTTCCTCTGCTTTATATGGGATGCTGCCACAGCATGGCTTGACAAGTGGTGCGTCGGTGCGGGCCAGGGATCCGAACCGACGAACCCCGGGCCACCACAGTGTAGCGCGCGCACTTAACTGCTTGCGCCACCGGGCCAGCCCCGCCTCGTTCTTTTTTCTTTCATCTGTTCAGCTTGGCTGATTTCCTCTAGTCTTTTGTCCAGCTCACTGATCCATTTTTCTGTATCATCTACCCTACCATTGAGTCCCTCTAGTGAATTTTTCATTTCCGTTACTGTATTCTTCATTTCTGATTCATTCTTTTTTATATTTTCCAGTTCTTTGTTGAAGTTCTCACTGAGTTCATCCATTCTGCCAAGATCAGTGAGCATCCTTATGACTATTAGTTTGTACTCTTTATCAGGTAGATTGCTTATCTCTGTTTCATTTAGCTCTTTTCTGAGGATTTGTCCTGTTCCCTTACTTGGAATATGTTCCTCCTCTCCTCATTTTGTCTCTTTCTCTGTGCTTATATCATGTATTAGGCAGGTCAGCTACGTCTCCTGTTCTTGGAGAGGTGGCATTATGTAAGAGATGCCTCATGAGGCCCAGCAGTGGTTTCCCTCTTGTCACCAGTTCTAAGTGTTCCAGGAGTGTTCCTTGTGTGGGCTATGTGTGTCCTGTTGTGGGAGGGTTGCTCTTGCTGCAGGTGCCCAGGGAAGCTAAGCTGTGCCCCTGGCTGGCTGGTTGTAATGCTCAGCTGCGTGTGGCTGCTGTGGACCCTTCAGTCACTTTATCGAGCATGGGGAGCCCCAGCACAATTGGCTGCAAGGTCTAATAGCACATTCCTGCTGCAGTTTTTCTGTTGAGTAGGCGCCCAGCATGGCTGGTTGCTAGGCTCAGGGGCTCACAATTGCTGTGGGCCTCTGGCCTGCAAGGCTGTTGTCAGGTCTCAGTAGTGCAGCTGGGTGGGGCCGGCCCCAGGCGTGGTAGCACACAGTTGTTTCAGGTATTGGAAGGTGGAGCTGATCCCTTATGTGGCTCTTTGTGAAGCACAAGTCTGCTGCAGCTGACAAGCCCCACTGCCCACAAGCCCTCACACCCCTTTAACACAGTCCTGCCCCTGCATATGCCCCGACCCACTGAAGTGGACCCACTCGCCCCGCTGCAGAGGTCCCACACACCCTGCCTATGCAGGCCCACAAGTTGCCCAAGGGCTTGCTGTTGACTGGGGCCAGTCCCTAGGGCAGGCTGCCTGCCCTGGCTGAGCTGGATTAAATCGGTGCTCTAGTGGGTCGGGGAGACCCCTGTGCTAACAGCCCAGGGGAAGAACTCCAATGGCGTCTGCCAGCGTCTGTGTCAGCATGCCTGTACTGGGTCACAATAATGGCTGCTGCCAATGTCTCAGTCACTGGGGAGGTGCTCTCAGCCTGGGGAGGTCTCACCTCTCACTGAGATGCACCCAGAGCCTATCAAGTGAGTATCTTTTCACCAAAGGACTGTGCACCTTTCTTTCTGGTGATTTTAGGTTGCTTTCTGAAAAGGCTGGAATTGTGCATGCGCCCTTTAAGAGCAGGCTTTTTCTTTCCCTTACGTTCAGTGGCTTTTCTGGGGGTATTCTCCGTTGTTGTTAATAGCCAGCAAAGCCGGATATTATGACACCCATCTCAGTTGTGCTGAGTTCAGAAGCTGCTTATTGTGGCATAGCTCTCCCGCTCAGATCCCCCACTCCTCCAGGGAAGGCTTCGTACCTTAGGATTGCTCCCAGCTGTGAAGCATTGAGGCTTGAATGTGGCTTTTTTCTCTCTAGAAAGGAATTTCTGCCTCTTCTACCTCAGTCAGCACTGTCTTTTATTGTGGGGGTTCTCTTTATCCAGTTTCTGGTTCTCTCTCGGGTAATTTTTCCAAGAGTAGTTGTAAATTTGTTGTGTCTGTGGGAGGAGGTGAGTTCAGAGTTCTCCTATGCTGCCATCTTCCCAGCAATCCTTTTTTCCATTTTTATATAGGCATTCAAACCTACAAATTCCCCCGTGCCCTGTTTAAGCAGCATTCCATTCCATAAATTTTGACATACATATGTTTTTTTATTTAGTTAAACATATAGTCCCTTTCCATTGTGATTTCTTCTTTGGTTCATGAATTGTTTAGAAATTTGTTGTTCAGAAAAAAAAAAAAAAAAAGCAATTTGTTGTTCAGTTTCCAAAAATTTGGGGATTTCCCAGATTTCTTCCTGTTTTTGTTTTCTAACTTAATTCCAATGTGTTTGGACATACTTTGTATTATTTCAGTATTTTCAAATGTATTGACTTTACGTTAATTTCTTCAATTTTGAAGGGTATTTTTGCTAGAAATAGAATTATTGTCTTTTTCTTTCAGCAATTTGCATGTCATCCATCCCACTGCCTTGGTGCCTCCATGTTTTCTGATGAGAAGTCACCTCTTAATCTTACTGAGGGTAGCTCATATGTTTGTTTAGATTTTAGATGCTTATTAGATATCCAAGTAGAGATATTAAGGAGCACTTGGATATATGAGTTTGACTTTAGGGGAGAGGTCCAGGCTGGGGCTGGTAATTTGAGTCTTCGGCATATAGATAGATAGTAATTAAAGTCATGTCACGGGATGAGTTCACCAAAGGGGAAAGTATAGATTAGGAAGACTAAGTACTGAGCCCTGGGATACTACAGTGCATAGAGGCAGAGAACAAGGATTAACCAGTGAGGTCAGAGGAAACCAGGAGAGTATGGTGTCATGGAAGCCAAGTGAAGGAAGTGTTTCAAGGTGATGGGAGTGATGTGCTATTTCAGATGCTGCTGAGAGATCAAATAAGGCAATAAGAATTGGCCATTGGATTTAGCACAGGTAGGTCATTATGGATCTCTGAGCAGGGCAGTTTCATTGGAGTGACTGGGGTGAAAGCCTACCTAGTGTGGGTTCACGAATGAATGGGAGGAGAGCTGGACGCAACAAGTTATAGGCAACTCTTCTGGGAAACTTGCCTGTAAACAGCAGACAAATGGGGTAATAGCTAGAGTTTGTTTTGGGAGGAATTTTAGCATGTCTCAACACCGATTCAAGATCAGAACATCATGATATTTCAACCATATTTCTTAAGTTTGAAACTTTTAATTTGATTTCACTTCAGAAATTTTCACTCCCACTAAGTTTGACTCAGGGATTTTCCCTTTGGAGGACACTTGCAGCCTGTTTTTACCTATTTGGAAGCCTTTCTGGCTCCCATCCTTCCCCCTCTTCCATCTGGAATGCTCACTGTATTACTCTCTATTCAGGTCTTACCAGTTCCTGTCATAATAGAGCTGTGAAAGCATCTTCTAGGGTTCCAGGGATGTCCCCCTCCTTCAGGAAAGTCAGCAACTACTGTTCTGTTTGCTTTCTACATTCACTTAAGCAGCTTCTGTGTACTTCTGTACCAAGCTTGGGATAAAATGAGTAAGATCTGGCTGGTCCTTGTCTTAAAGGATCTCAGTCTAGAGCTAAACTGTCCAATACAGTAGCCACTAGACACAAGTGGACATTTAAACGTAGTAAAATTAAATAAAATTAAAAATTCAGCTCCTCAGTTGCAGCAGGATTTCAGATGCTCAATAGCCACATGTGGTTGGCAGCTCCTCCTCTGGACTACACAGATAGAGGACGTTTCCATCACTGCAGAGAGTTCTGTTGTGCAGTACACTGGTCCCGAAGAACACCGACTGCTACACAATGACAGTAAATGAGATCATTATTGTTACTACTCATTTTGGCATTTAATAAAATGTGACCTTGTGACTTTATTTAACTAGCTCATGCATTTCCCTAATTAAATTGAAAACTCTTTGAGGCCAGAGGACTGCATTTCTCCTATATGCCCCACCATGCTTTACTGCAGGGTTAGCTCACTGAAAGTGTTCAGTGAATATGAAATGTAATTTTCCATTTGCCATGGAAAACTTTTTCATAGATGGGCTCTTAGATTAGCTTAGAATGTTATATCCTCTAGGGACTCAGGGCCCTGGAGCATGCTGTGACTTTAACCCTGACTAGCAGTGTGATCTGCTTCACATGCCTTCCTTCAGTGCCTGAGTGTATGAAGTATAAGACAGGGGCTCTTGGGCTTCGGAGAGCTTTAAAAAATACTGAGGGCTACCCCAGAAATGGATTTACTTGATCTGGGGTGTGGCCTGGGCATTGAGATTTTTTAAAAGCCCCCAGATGATTCTAACATGCAGCTTAGGGTGAGATCCACCAGAAGAGACTGAACCCCGAACCCTCACCTTCAGTTCTGCTCATTTACAGCTGTAAAACAATGTTACCAGTACATTTAAGCTTTATCTTTTATACTATTCATTAATACTTTTTTTTTCTCGTTATAGTTTCTTATCTCAGTAATCACTATGGTCCTTCTGACACTGATGACTGTCACACTGGATCCTCCTCAGAAATTACCGGACTTATTTACTGTATTGGTTTGTTCTGTGTCCTGCTTGAACTTCCTGTTCTTTTTGGTGTACTTTAACATTATAATCATGTGGGATTCCAAAAATGGAAGAAATCAGAAGAAAATCAACTAGCTCTATTCCCAGATGTGAAAAATGTTAACAGCGCTAAAAGGTTTTGTGATCTTTTGCTATGTGTAAATGAAATCATCATTTTGAGAATCATGGACTTACATGAAGAGATGGTGACAAGTCACTGTTGTCTATGCAAAATAAATGTGTACAGGACCAAAGCCCATGGAGGCTTTCATTTCTAACTCTTGAGTGGTCAAGACATTGTAGCTTTATTAATATTCAGTTATTCAAGTGGGAAAACAAGAGAAAAATATCCTTAATCCAGTGTTTACTCAGGAACTGTACTCTATAATTTGTTGTCTTGAAAAAAATCTGCAAATACAGTAAGCTTAATGGGAGAATTTAGCCCATTATTTTTAAAGGAAATCACTAATTTTGGTATTCAAATTTGATTTTCCTTACATTTTAGAATGCAAGTAATGTGTATTTCATTCTTTAGATATTATATCTCAGGGATTAAATTTGTGATCATCTTTTTAATTCCTATGAGAAGGCAATTTAAACTACTTGAAGTTTGAACATGCCTTATTACATGTGAAAATTTGAATTTTTAACAAGGCAGATTAAATCGTGTTATTTCCAAGAATGCTGATTTACTTGAATGCAATTAAACAATGAATTTCCCTGAATTTAGGTCAAAGTACTTTGAGTTAAGTCTTTTTAATTATTCATGATCATTAGTTCTAAACTTCCAGGGTCATCCTGTTTAAGTTAAGTGGCCTTATACAGGATTTTATCCTTCTGTTCTTTTTTGTTATGACACGGTTCAAGGTTACCACTGCCATACACATTAATTCATATCATGCTCCAGGCTAACTTGGCCCTATTGATACTGTATCTCTCTATATTCGCACAATCCCATCTTTACTATAGTGTTCAGTGGGTAAAAAATAATGTATTATATCCATGTTACATGTAGTTTCTTTAGTCTCTGTAATAAAAATAAAACCAATCATTTTCCCATAAACCTATTTTTTTAATGAATATATTTCTTTCATAAGACAGCCACTAACACATAGTAACTAACGCATATTAACTAATGGTATATTTTAAAACAATGCAAGCCAAACACATATACACGCATCAAGAAAATTTGGTTCTAGACATGGACAGCCGCAGGCTGAAGCAAGAAGGTATGTGTTTCTAAGTCTGATAAAGGAAGTGGGTTTAGACAAAGCAAAAAATGAAGAAGTATTTCTTTCTCAAAGCAAATGTGCATAAAGACTCGAAGGGCAGGTCAGCACAGAAACGCAGCCTTGAGTCGCTGCCGAATCAGCAGGAACATCGCTGTCCAGGGCGACCATCTGTAATCGCTGTGCCCAAATGTCAGCATCTTGGCTGGCTGGTGTGGTCTTATTTTTTTATTTTTTGTAATAGCATACTTGCGTTTAACACAGGATGTTGATTTAACTCGATGATTTAACTAACTTCTAAATAATTGGAATAGAGAAATGTTATTTGAAAATAAAAGTATTGTATAAACAGTGAAATAGAATGCACTCATATTCAAGGTCTAGTCTGTGAATAAGAACACATTTTCCAGGTGGCTTTCTCACCATATGGAGCTACACTGCAGCTTTCAGGGAGACTTGTAGCAATTATAAGTCAAGTGTCTCTTGTATCTATTAGAAACCAGTTTAAGAGTCCACTTTGAACTTGGAGGGATTAGGTTCCAAAATACCAAAAATGTTCAGTGATGAATTAAGATCAAAGAAATATGCAATTCCAAAGCACTTTTCTCAGCTATACTCAGGATTATAGGAATGTTTTAATATGATGATCTTTAGGTTATGCAAAAATATTAAAGATTTCTCACTTTCTTCACAAGTTTATCTGTCAAAAAATGGACACTTCTGAGTTATTTTCAAGTTCATTTTAGAGGGAAGGCCGTTTCTGAGAAATGCAGTTTTCTCTGTTGTCAATAAACTTAGGTTTGCTTCTTAAACTGAAGAGAATAGGGTGTATGTTCATGTATCAAATATGAGGCATACAGAAGTCATTTTCCCTTCAGGCCTTAGAGAGGGGAGAAAAATCCCCGATGTAGCATTCTGTCCAAATGATAAACCACAGCTAAGTGAGTGAAACATTTACAAAAGTCATGGCAGCCAAAGGGGCCTCTCTGTTCAAGAGGAAGAGATGGATCGGACATTAACTAAATGATAGCTGGAGTAACACAGTGGTTTCAAGTCTCAATTGGTCTCTCTTCTGTTATGTTCACCGGAAGATCAGGGCCAAGTGTATCCCCCGCCTTCTGCTGTGCCCTCCCCCCCATATAAACATTAGTTTTGTGTGTGGATCTTTTTGCTTTGTCCTTCATGTGGCCTCCAAGGGTGATAAAGCGAGAGTCATCTGATCTACAATGAAGAGAACTGGGAAATGATTCTTAGCAGACCCAGCTGTTCTGAAACGCAAAAGCTTAGAATATCAAGAGGTCAAACGTACGGTAACTGATTTAATAGCACTAAACACATATATAGTTAGTTTTCAATGCTAGAACACAAAGGAATTATCCTTTTTGGTATATTTTAGGTAATGTCCTATTATAAGAACTGTATCACAAAGTATTCTTAATATTTAGCAGATTATCTTAAAAATCTTATTTAAATAGTACCAATAAAATCATTAGTGAAGGCAATTAGGTTTAATAGTTAATTGGGTTTACTGTTTAGTAGCTATCTCATTTAAATTAATAGTTTTTTAAAAATAATGCATTTTAAGAAGTGAATCTGAAATTTCTCTAAATGGAAAATTAGTTATTTTCAACCTTAATTTGTTAAATTTTGTTTCAGATTTTCATACAGTATTTTTATTTTCATGATACAGTGAATTAAATGACATGGTAACATATAAATTTTGTCGAGTGGGCAAGTACTGAGGAAGTAGCATTTTTTTCCTGTATAAATGGTCAAAGTATAGAAGTTTTAAAAAACCGTGTTATCAAGTTATAACACATTCTGTGATTCCCTCTCCCCTTTATTTTCTGACAGCACAAACAGATGATGATACACACCACCACCATGGAAAAATAGAAATTTAAATTAATGCTTCAAAATAATCTGGAGGGGAGCACATACTGCCCCATAAGAAAGGTCTTTTCTTTGAATTCAGTAGTCTGTGTAGTTCAGTTTAAAACCTTCATATTTAAATCTCTTTATGAAAAATGCATTCCAATATTGTATAAAAGGAGATGTGAAAATTTTAAAACTTTGAAAATATATATATTTTTTAAATTATTTATTTTTTTTCCCCCAAAGCCCCAGTAGATAGTTGTATGTCATAGCTGCACATCCTTCTAGTTGCTGTATGTGGGACGCGGCCTCAGCATGGCCGGAGAAGCAGTGCGTCGGTGCACGCCCGGGATCCGAACCCGGGCTGCCAGCAGCGGAGCGCGTGCACTTAACTGCTAAGCCAGGGGACCGGCCCCGAAAATATTTTTTTTAGCATAGGAATAACTAGCGTATAAGAAACCTCATCCCTGAGATAGTGGCTACACAATAAACTTCTAGATAAATTTTTTAAAATTTTAAAAAGAATCTAAATATGCATCTGGGGCTTTAAATGGGAAAACTGGTACCTAATTCCACTCACCATTAGATTTAATCTGAGTTTTAAAATAGATAGCTCTACCAAAGGTGCCATTTTCATCACGTTTTATTAAGTCTGTCCACGAATGCTGCAAGTATACAGAGGTGTGCATGATATGGAATATAAGTCAAGAGCCTCTTCTACATGTTGGCTTACATTAAAGGGTCAAGAAGAAATGTATTATTTACATTGAGATTATCCACTGGTGTGTGTAGAAAGTTTAAATTAGCTGCAAGAAATTTTATCTAGACACGCACCTGCCTAGTGCTATGATCTGGTATTTACTGGGCAGATTAATTACAAATATTTCTTCTGTTCCTTTAAATATGATCAGGCAGATGCAGAAGTTGTTCCTAGTGGGTGCAGTTCTTCTAAATGCCTGTAGGATAAAAAAGATTATTAAATCATCAAGAATTAGTTTCCAAATGAGCATGCATCTCATACATGACTTAAGAAATGATTTAAACATCCATTTACCATGTAATTTGGTACCTAGTTTAGATACTGGTAATCTCTTATTTCAGGCTTCTACACAAGATTCACCTTCACAAATAATTGTCAGTATGACTCCTCTGACATAGCACGCTTCTTTATGTGAAGATAGATCTTGAGATACTTCTGAGGGAGTTCTAGAACTCCAACACGACCCTCTGAAAACACCAAATCTACGTGCCTTCTGTCTGTAAGCCTTAAGGGCCTTTCAGCAGGTGTTTCCTCCAACAGCTGCCCCCCAAAAAAAGAGACACTATTTACTGACATTCCTACTCGCAGTATGTCCCTCGGGGGACTCCTAGTGGTGGTAGAAGTTCTTGTATATTTGGCCTTAGGACCCTTGTGTGAGAGGACGCCTTTGAAGAAAGCAGCCACTGGCAACTGATGGCACATACTCCCACAGGGCACGTGGACTCCACTTCTGAAACACCCCTTCCTTGCTTACATCGGCAGCTATGAAGAAGTAATGCATGGTGGGCCCCTATATTTCCCTATTCACGACAGTCTGTTATATTCTTGTCCTAGAAGATAGGTTGCCAACTTGACAACCAACTTTTGCCAGCTTTCATTTGAGTCTGGTCTGAATTCCTAGAGAAGATTTTAAGCACTCTAGTGTTCACTTAATATCCTTACAGGTTACTGACACACAGTTATCAGAACTAATGAAAATACCATAAAGGAAAGGAAGACTACCATTTATTAAACAGTTACTATGGGGGAGGTACTAATTAAGCTAATTATTTTGTACAATCTCACACAGTAAATACTGTCAGTCCCATCTTATAATGAAGGTTTAGGAGAACCAAGTGCCTCATTTAAGGCTACTCAGCTAAGCAATAGTAGCGCTGGTGCTAGACATCGAATCCAAATCCCATTCCCTGTTACGATGCCAGGCCCTGAAAGGAAGTTGCATCAATTGATCATGGCTGCTGGGAGAACTGTGTTGAGAAAGATTCTGAGGTGAAATTCAGGATCCAGCAAAAAAAAAAAATGCTTTCATCAACATGATGTACATCACAGCACCAGAGCAGGGAGTGCAGCAGGTCTGCTATCTACACTGCCACACTGGTTCTGGAGATGAATGTCTCAGAACACAAATGAAAAGCAATTGAGACACAGCGATGCAGTTCATGAGCAGT